TCTCTCCTTATATAGTCTCTTGGGAGGGGCCTAATCACAACCACCTGGATCCAATTATCTCCTTTGTCTCCTTAATTGCTGCCAGCATTTATCCACCCATCTCTGCCAGGTGTCTGGGACCAATTCCCTCTGAACCTCATCACTGCTCAAAGGCCTGACATCTTCACCACTGCTCCAGGGCCTGATGTCATGGGCACACTCACTTTGGCTTTCACCTCTGCTCCATGCCTCATGCACCTCCTGATGGCCAACCAGCCACTCTGGTCCCTGCTCAGAGTGTGAACCCTGTCCAGGGTCCTCCACATCTTCCAGAGCTGACCCATAGGCCCCTCGCTATTGGAGTCTGTTTGCAGCTCCAACGGCTCCTGCTGGGCCACAACACTTAGGCATAAAAAAAATCAAGAACTGTTGCACATGAACAGGTCACACCTGTAGACTATCTAGAAAGAGAAAGGAGAAAGGGACGGGATCCAATTTGTAATAGCATATTACCTTCTCAAACATATTTGTGAATTGGGCTTCATAGTTTGAAACATCTTGATATTAGCATATAACAGTATGTACAGTATACATATACATACTATGTATATGTACACATATGCATACATACATACATACATACATACATATACACACACATACATGCATATATATAAAATCAGATGAGAAGAATAGCAAAGTATATATAGTTAATATATTAACTATTGCCAGTTATTCATATTTAGCAATATTTAATTTGCTATGGAATGGTTTCTACTGAAATTTGGATTTAATATAATTACATATATTGTGATAAGCCAGAATTGCTTTTAAAAGTACTACTGGCAGGCCTTAAACTGGTGTCTTGAGATATGGGTAGGACTTTCATTTTGTCCTTTTGCTTTCCAAACCAAAAATGGGCTCAACGTTGCAATTATACCAGTTGCATGAGTGCTCTGGGGATCTCAGAATGAGACTGGATGCATACATGAGCTCCACTGCCTGCAGGTTGTCAAATCTTACTTTCAAATTGTACTTTCTCAACTTAATGACTGATGGACATATTAAATCCAAACACTACATTGTTTGGGAAGTGAAGTCCTGCTAAAGACCAGCCTCTCAGCTGGTAATAAAGCTTGCTGATAATAAAATTAACCAATGTTGTATGAGGCAGCTATTCACTTTCTATATGAACATTAATAGTTTCTTTGTTTGTGGCATTCCAGTTATGTTATCAACTGTGGTATTACATTACCACTTTTGTTTTATTCCTTGATTTAGGTATTTGTATACCAGTGACTGAGAGCATTCTCACACCCCATATTCCAGCTCTAGAAGTGCCTCGCAATAAAAAAAATAATCACTATCCCACCAAGGATTTGGGCTGGCAAAATCTTGGAAAAGGACAGTCTAAGCTGACACATGCCAAAGGTAGGATGGCTTGATTTATAAATGGTCTGTAATGGTTTCCTGAGAAGGGAAGAACACCTTAACACCAATTTATGGGGAGTGCATTCTACCAAGGTACATAAATTTATTTAGAGCTGAGGTGGCGTAATGGTTAGAGTGCAGTACTGCAGGCTACTTCAGCTGANTGGAAGGTATCTTGGAGGTCTTCTAGTCCAACCCCCGGTTAGGCAGAAAACCGTATGCCACATCATCCATTGCTTCTTGTCCTACCCTCAGGTGCTTTCAGTTCACTGTAAAGGATTTAGAGAGTTAACATGATACTTTTGGGTGATTTGACATTTCATGAAAACGCAGTGGATTTACCATGAAAGTGGCACCATACTGAGAAAATGAAGTATAACAGAAAATATAACTCTTGACGCCATTAGGGCATCCTCTCAACAATTTTCCTAAGAAAGGGGACATTGGAGAGAGGTGCTTCCTTATCAAATAATTTATGGTCTGTACTTAAAGATACAAAAAAAGTCTCAGAAATTAATTTATTCAAAGAAGTTTAAAACAGCCCCAAATAACAGCTGATTCAATTAAATTCAGCATCAATGAACAGATTTTTGGAACACAGACAAAATCCACCCCATCTAAGATAAGGCACATAAAATTTTTAGAGTTAAAAGATAATATTTTTCTTGATGCTTTATTTTTGTCTGATAACAGATTTTCTAAAAAAGAAACTAATCTACAGACAGATATGCCTATTTATCTGCAATATTTCTATCTTTTACACTCCCTAGTAATTTTTCTGTTGTCTTACATTAAGAAGGGCCCTAGTGGGATTCTGAAAGTACAATGGCTCTTGTGCCAAATTTTGATCCAAAATCAAAGGAAGTGCAATAAATTTCCTTGACTGTTTTAACTGTAGAGATTTTTTTTGCCAAATTATGCCTTCTTAGAGAAGGAAAGGTTTGGGGAAGTATTGATATGCATTTTTCTATTCAGATACCAAAGAAGATAAATCCTTTAGTTTAATTGATGATGAATATAGAGATTCACTTTTAACCAAAGGAACCGCTCGTGCAGTGGTGAAATTCAATATTATTTTTTACTATCGTTTCTGTGGGCATGGCTTGGTGGGCATGGCAGGGGAAGGATAGTGCAAAATCTCCATTTCCACCCCACTCTGGTGCCAGCCAGAGGTAGTATTTGCCAGTTCTCCGAACTACTCAAAATTTCCTCTACCAGTTCTCCAGAACCTGTCAGAACCTGCTGAATTTCACCGCTGCATTCATGAATATAGTATCATGTCAATTTCTCCTACTTTGCTATGGGAAAAATTGACTTGTTTTATTTGTTTGATTGATTGTTTCAGTTGGAGAAACTATTATCAATATTATTCCTGTAAATTTCAGTATTATTCCTGTAAATTTCAGTATTATTCCTGTAAATTTCAGTATTATTCCTGTAAATTTCAATAATCTGCTCATCTAAATCTTAAAAGGAAAGATTCACATGATGCCTATTATTAGCATCATATAGAAAATGATCCATCTAAACTTACTTCTTGATCTTACCTGTGTGGTAGTCCTTAATACACAAGACAATCTAATTTATGTGCTATCGGTTATGGCAAATAATGTTTGGAAAACCATAAATTAGGGTGTTTTAGTATCACTGAATACTGAAAGTATGAAAAACATTTACGATAAATTGGTATTTGAAAAATATGTTTCCATTATGACTTGTTTTGACTTTTATAGTGTTGTTGTCTCATTATGACTTTTTAAAATTTATACCTACCCATAGGCTTATCCTTGCACTAATGATAAAGAATGTGAAGTTGGGAAATACTGCCATAGTCCCCATCAAACTACATCTGCCTGCATGGTTTGTAGAAGGAAGAAGAAACGTTGCCACAGAGATGGCATGTGCTGTCCTGGAAACCGCTGTAACAATGGTATTTGCATGACTCTTTTTTTAAAAAAAAAACATGAATAAATTATTTTAGTGCTTGAGTCTCATATTTCTTTTTCAAGATTTGCCTAAAATATTATCATTACCACTAACATTCAGTAATTTAAAAGTGGCATGAGAATTCCACATTTGCAAATTTTGAGAGGAGATGCCTTAGGTGTTCTGACCCCCCCCTCCATACGCCAACACAAGATTACTGCTACACAATTTATTCACA